GCTACTTAAAAGACCTATCAAAATCGAGTGCATTAAGTGCAACAGCTTCCGCTTATTGCTATACTTCTTTATCTTAAATATTAGTTTGCGATTTACTACTTGCTTAGATTGCTATTACTAACGACGCTACGAGCTAGCTAAAAAGTACTTTATTCGGGATATAGCTTGAAAGTGTTTAATTAGCAATTTAGCAAATGTAATAATATCGGAATATACGGCGAAATTAGCGGACGAACCTTATTAAAGCTATTTAAATCTATTTCTATAAAAAGAGCTAGATAACTTATATACTTATTATTATTATCGCAATAAGCGGACCTTTTAGCGCTTATGTGTTTCAGATAAGCGTATAAAAAAAGCTATTTAAAGCTTAAAAGCTTACGCAAAGATCGAGCTTAAAGCTCACTGATTAATAGTTATAAAGGAGTATAAGCTTAACGAATTATAAGATATATACTAATAGTTTATTATTAAAAGTGGTTGTATAGCTATTAGCAATTAATTAAAAGTAAATAATGTATTTGAATTGTAATTTTAATTGCGCCGAATTAATTGTAACTTTTATAACTATTATAACTTTTATAACTTAATAATTTTATATAATTATGTATGCTAAGCCGATGGATTTAGCAAAAGCGAAAATTTACTTATATTATAAAAGTTATATAAGTTATAAAAGTTATAAAAGTTATAAAAGTTACAAAAGTTACAAGAGTTATAAGAGTTATAAGTTACTTTATAAAATATAATATAGATATACTGCTATACCGACGAATACGGTAAGTATAAGAATTTAGTTAAGCACGAACCTTTTTAAAAAGTGAATTCGTTTATCATTTTTAAATATTTATTATAACTTAAATATTTTTCTTAACTTTAATATTAATATTAATATCAACTTTAATTTTAACTTTAACCTTAATTCTAACCTTAACCTTAACTTTAATTGCAGCTACAACTACGATTACAATTATATTAGCAATATGATTTCACTCCGCTAGCGCAACCTTCGAAACGGACCTTATATAAGGCGGATAGGTCGGCCGGATCCGGCTTATAAGCGGCAAATATAACTATTTCGCAAGCAGCAATGGCTGCTTTTATACCCCTTCTCCTCCCTTTAATAAGCCTTGCTTTTTGCTTTGCTTATTGCTTTAATTAAGCTCGCGGTATAAATGATAAGTAATACATTCTAGTTACTTACGCTAATGTTATATATAAATTTAATTAAGATAACGACGATAATAATAAGATTAAACTAATAATCTTTCGCTTTCTTTCTCTCTCTTCTTCCCTTTTTTATATCGTCTCCGCTGCTGCCTTGCCTCTTCTTCTCTCTCTCTTTTTTGCTGCTATAGACTTAGTAATAAAAGAAGTTAAGAGAAAGATAAAAAAGGATAAGGTAATAAAAGATTTTAAGCTCGCAATATAAGTCATTTTAAGATCAAGTGATACATTTAAGCTATTTACGCTAATAATATATATATATATATATAGATTCGAAAACGACGACGATATAAATAAGCTAATAATCTCTCGCTTTCTTTCCTTTTTTATCTTCGTCCTTTTTGCTTTATCGATTCTTATTAGCGCCCCGGCTTTTATATTCTTCGCCGCCGCCGTGCCCTTCTTTGCTACGCCATTTGCTACCCTTCGCTTTACAAGCTTTAAACCGATCTTATTTTTATAATAAAGCATAAGCGTAAATATATTTTCATATCCTTTATTAATACCTATTGATTAAATTAATAAATGTTTGCGTCCTTGCCGGCCGTTAATAAAAGGACCCCTTTTACTAAAGCCTAGCTTAAACAAGCTTAATCGATTGCCGGGTTTGCGCGGCTCCTTTAAGCTTAGACTACTTAAAAGAAAAACAAAGACTTATATACGCTTTCCGCTATAAGCATATAATAATCGTATAAGCAATCGGACTTATCAAAGCTCCTCTCTCTTCGCCGTGCTATTATCGGCTACGTCGGCCGTATTATAAAGACCGAATTATAAGAATTACCTTTTTTTATCTTCTAGCAACTTTAAGCTAATATAAATATATAAAAGTAAGCTAGTAAACCCGCTTTGCGATGCGTGCGCTGCTGCTCGCTAAGAGTGCTAAGTATATTCTTCGGCCGGTAAAGCATAAATATCTAATTCGAAAGATGCGTATGCTCGTTGTCGGTGGTCTCTTCGAAAGTGTATTGCGTCTAAGAAGAGCTTACGTAAGAAACGTAGACCTGGACCCTCTTCTCTTGCTCGAGACTTTCCTCCCCCTCCCCTCCCCCCTCCTCTAGGTGCACCTCTTATAGCTAGGTTAAAGATTCGGGTTTAGACCCTTTTTAATGCATATTCTTAGATCTGATAATTCTTATAACTTTTATGACTTGTATAATCTTATAGCCTTTATAACTTTTATAATTTTTATAACTTTTATAACTTTTATAACTTCTATAACCTTTATAACCTTTATAACCTTTGTAACTTCTATAACTTTTGTAACTTTTATAACTTTTATAACTTTTATAACTTTTATAACTTTTGTAACTTTTAATATTTTCGTAATATAAGTAAATATATAAATATAAGTAATAAAAGGGGTCCGAGGTCTCCCGGTAT